CCTCCGCCTCCTGGGTTTGGGCAATATTCCTGCCTCAGCCTCCTGAGTAGCTAGGATTACAGGCACGCGCCACCATGCCCAGCTAATTTTTTGTATTTTTAGTAGAGACAGGGTTTCACCATATTGACCAGGATGGTCTCGATCTCTTGACCTCGTGATCCACCCGCCTCGGCCTCCCAAAGTGCTGGGATTACAGGCTTGAGCCACCGCGCCTGGCCGCATGTATAGTTCTTAATGCATGAGGGAGCTCCTCACGTCCATGGGGGAGCCATGGTACCCAGGCTAGGCAAGGAATGGTTTATCTGTGTGGAACTCACACAGAGGCTTAGGGCTCCCTAGAAGCGTGGGTGCAGTCATGTCTAAGCAGCACGCTGATGTTGTAGAAAACAGGCTGGTCTTAAAGTTCTGTGTCTGTGACTACAGGCTTCTCTGTGCCCCTCAGTTCTGACAGCTGACCAGGGGGCTGGTAGTGCCTCCCTCAGGCTGCTAGCCATGGCCATCAGGTGTCTGGCTACGCATGATAGATGGTGCTTTCCCGCCATGCGCACGAGCACCCCCAAGGCACAGCTCAGGGGCCACGCTGGCTGGACTGGTCAGACCTGCTCCTTCACAGGCCATCTCTTCCCTACCCTTTAGAGGCCAGGTCTGTAGAACACTGCTGTCGTGTTGAGGGAGCGGTTGGCCATCCACTTAAACAGTTAACGTTCTTCCCCCCCCCCCCCACCGTAGCTTCCTTGAGATTAAATGGATGACTTATATCTTTTTTTTTTTGAGACTAGGTCTCACTCTGTTGTCATGGTTGGAGTGCAGTGGTGTGATCTCGGCTCACTGCACCCTTGACCTCCTGGGTTTAAGTAATCCTACTGCCTCAGCCCCAAAGTGCTGGGATGGCTTAGCGCCACCATGCCCGGCTGATCTGTGAATTTTAAGTGGACGATTCAGTGGCTTCTAGTTTATTCAAAGTTGTGCATGCCTCACCACAATTGATTTTAAAACGTTTCTATCGTCCTAAAATGAAACCCTGCAGCTACCAGCCTGCCTGCTGTGTCCATGGCTGGGCCTGCTCTGGACAGCTGATGTAAATGGAAGTGTGACTAGGTGGCCTCTGAGCCAGGCTTTGTTACTTAGCACAGCAGTGTTGTAGCGGGTCTCAGGACTCCATTCCTCATTAGGGCTGAATTGGCTGTAGCCCTTCAGCTCATGTCATCCTGAAGCTGTGGGGATTGCTGAGCCTCTGGCTGCTGCTCCAGGGGAGGGGGACTCCTGGCCTCAGGGCAGGCTAAGCCGGGGCTCCCACCGCAGTGGGTGGCGCTGGCTTTGGGGCTGCTTCTCCCCAGACCATGCCCTAGTGGCTGGGGCCCAGCATGTGGTGACTTTTGATGGCTGGGTATGGGACTTCAGTGCCTAGTGTGGCAGCATCCTCCTGGCCCAAGACTTTGCTCACAACACATTCTCCCTGATGCTGAGTCGAACAGGCTCGGGGCTTACGGCCCTGACTGTGGAGCTCATCCACATGACCCTCATCTTCTACCGCAGCCTGCAGGTGAGGAGGAGAGGCTGGAGCTTCCCCTGGAGACCTGTGCCTGTGGCAGGCTGCCTGGGGTGATGGCCCTTTCAAGCTTTTCCCCTGTCTCTGGGTCAGCCCTCCTGCCTACTCGCTCTGGCCTACAGGCTGTACAACTCCTCCCTGCAGGGGGAGAGCTGTCTAAACTCCAGCTGCCTCCTGCCATGACAAGGAGGGACGTCTCCAGGATTGAGCTGGCCACTAAGAACGGGGTCTCCATCTCCTGTGACGACCACCAGCCTCTGCAGCCTGACTCTGGGCCTCTGGCACCATGGTGAGTCTGGGCCCTGGCGCGGTTGGCCCCACTACCAAGAGCCTCTTTGGGATGCACCATTCTCAGCTTCCAGTGCGACAGGTCCCCCGGCTGTAGGCGGTGACCATGGTTGAGATGATGGCACTGAGGCCCAGGGCTTTCTGCCCACATCCCTGGATACGCGGCTCCAGGGTGGAGTTGGCCTGTCTGTGGTTCCTCTGCCAAGGAACACAAAGGGTGGGCCTGGATTCTGGGCACTTGAGCTGAGGACATGGAGAGGGGGTGGGGGGACACATGGTGTCCTTAGTCCCTGTGCTTTCTCTCTCTCCTCTGATGAGGGTTTGGAGCCAGAGCCCTGGGCTCCAGGAGTCCGGGGTGGAGGTGGCGGGATTCTACCAATCCTTGGTGTGCCTCAGGCTCGTCTCTCATACAGGTCCCCTGGGGGAGGATCACGGGCTCTCAGAATCTCCTCAGCTTCCCTCCTCCCCACAGGCATATCCGTTGGCTTTCTGGGTACCAACGACAATGAAGCAGGCAATGAGCTGATGTTGCCAGACAGCTCTGTGGCCCACAGACTGGAGGAGCTCCGCCTGGCCTGGCAGGTGAGCCGGGGCACCTGCCCTTCCTCCCTCTGGCTGAGGCTCTCGAGGGCTGCTCTCTGCCCCCAACCCTGGGTCTGCAAAGACCTCTGCAGTCTCTTGCTGATGCCGATGTATATGGGGGAGCCACATGGTCCAGCAGAAGGTCTGAGTCTAGTGTCTGTCCTGCCAGGTGGATGGTGCTGCAGGGCCACCAAGAAGACTCAGCAGGCCTGTCCAGGACAGAGCCCCACCTGCCAGGCCTTCTTTCAGGACCACCCCTCCAGCTTGGGGAACTGCTTCTGGGTGGTGAGTGTGAGCCTGGGCCCTGGGGCACAGAAAGCCCTTTCCTCCATCTGGCCTCTCCTCCATGCCACTCCCCAGGGTAGGACAGTGACTGGGTGACCTTGATTTCAGGTGGACCCTGCGCCATTCCTCAGCCTGTGTGTGCAGGACCCCTGTGGCACCCAGGAGCTCCAGCCTGCCTGCACTCTGGAGGCTGCCTACATCCACCTGTGTGCCCACAGCTTCATGTCCCTGGCCCCTCCTCCATAGTGCGGTAAGCTGCCCCAGCCAGCTGGCACTCTGCCCCCGTCTGGCATCTGCCTTCCAGCCAGAGGCTCTCTCTCTTGCCAGGGAGGACAAATAATTGTCATTCAAGGAGCTAAGAGTCAAAACATTTACAGGCTGACACAGCTTGGATGTGTGTCCCTTCCAAATCTCATGTTTGTTAGAGGGGGTACATCCCTCATGGATGGCTTAGCACCCTCCGTTTGGTGAGGCATGGGTTCTTGCTCTATTAGTTCATATGAGAGCAGTTTGTTTATAAAGAGCCTGGCACCTCCTCTCTCTTTGCACCCACTCCCATTTCTGCCATGATTGTAAACTTCCTGAGGCCTCGCCACAAGTGAAGCAGATGCTGGAGCTGTGCTTGTACAGCCTGTAGAACTGTGAGTAAATTGTATCTCTTATTTATGAACTGCCCAGGCTGGAGTGTAGTGGCGCAATCTCACCTCACTGCAACTTCCACCTCCCAGGTTCAAGCAATACTCCTGCCTCAGCCTCCCAAACATACAGGCAGGTATTTTTGTAGAGATGATGTTTTTCCATGTTGGCCAGGCTGGTTATGAATTCCTGACCTCTGGTGATCCACCTGCCTCGGCTTCCCAAAGTGCTGGAATGACAGACGTGAGCCACCGCGCCGAGCCTCACTAGGGACTAGAATGTCCACCACTGTTTAGGGAAAACGCTCAGCCTGTTTTCCCTCTGCTCTCATATCACAAAAATCATCATCAACACAGAAGATGAATTCTGTGAGCAAATGTATAGAGTTTGTCCCCACTACCAGGGTGGACCTCTAATCCGGTTCTAACAGTAGCTACCTTGAGATTCTCTAGCCCATGCTGCATATGATTGCTACAGCCAAAGCCCCACTAAAAGGGCATAGAGGTCAGTATCAACAAGAGGAGTGGAAAATATGACAAAGGAAGGATGAAATGAGAGGATCCAACACGTCTCAAAGAAATTCCAGGCCGGCTGTGGTGGCTCATCCCTGTAATCCTAGCACTTGGGAGGCCAAGATGAGTGGATCACCTGAGGTCAGGAGTTTGAGACCAACCTGGCCAACATGGTGAAAACCCATCTCTACTAAAAATACAAAAATTAGCCAGGAAAGGTGGTATGTGCCTTTAATTCCAGCTATAACTTGGGAGGCTGAGGCAGGAGAAATGCTTGAACCCAGAAGGTGGAGGTGGCAGTGAGCCAAGATCTTGCCACTGTACTCCAGGCTGGTGACAGAATGAGAGTCTCTCAATAAAAATTCCAGAATGAAAATAGAGACAGGACCCAGGACCCTTTGGAGTCAGGAGGCACAATCCCCAATACAATAAATCCATCCATACCTAGACCCATCCAAACACAATTGCAGAAAAGACAAAGAACAGCTCCTAAAAGCTACTGAGGAGGGTGGAAAGAAGGAAGAACATGTTGACAATTGCTTTCCCACCCGCAGCAACAGAAGACAGTGGAGTAAGACAAAGTAAGCATGAGGTTAGAGATGATCCCCAGCTCAACTATTACTGAATGAAATAACCTCTCAGCACCGATCTGTCTAGAGATCTTTACCACAAACAGACACTTTCTCAAGGGACACATCCCCATGTTCATTTACGTACTGTCTGTGTCTGCTCTTCTGCTACAATGGCAGAGTATCTGCAAGGGAGACTACATCTTTGCTCTCTAAAAGACTCAATTAGGAAGATGGAGAGATAAGCTACAGATTGGGAAAAACGTTTACAAACCACCAATCAGACCAAGGATTCATCTATCTCCAGAGACTCATCTCTAGAATGCATAAAGAACTCAAAGCTCAAAAGTAGGCCAGGTACAGTGGCTTACGCTTGTATTTCTGGCACTCTTGGAGGCTGAGGTGAGATGGCTTGAACCTGGGAGGTCAAGGCTACAGTGAGCCATGATTACACTCCTGGCTGCATGACAGAGTGAGGCCTTGTCTCACAAAACAAAACCTCCAAAGTAAAAAATGGGAAATAATGCATGAACAATGTTTTCACTCCCAATCATAGAGAAACAAGGTAGTGCTACACACCTGAGCTCTGGTGAGTTCCAGCACGGGTTGGTGAGCTGCAGGGACTCCGCAGCATAAAGCATTAGTTCAATATCCAAATGACCAGGTTGTGATTTCAGCATCCACTGATGAGTGCATTATAAAAAGCACTGTCCTAGTGCCAAAAAGGTGGTGGCTGATGAGAAAAAAGTGAGGCTCAGGGGCAGGAATCAAGGTCACGGTCTACCAACCAGATCCTCTCTGGAAGCAGCATTCGACTCATGAGGTGCCAAGACAGGAGATGGTGTTGCTCCAGTGGAAGCTTGGAGAATCTGGAATCAAGCAGAAGCACTCATTGTTCTGACCATGTAAATACAAAACCGTCAGCTACTACAGCGATGAACAGAACATCTGGGACGACAGGCAACTCAGAAGATTTACAGCCACAGGGTAACAATGGAGTATTATCTGCAGTTAAGGTCCTCTGTATTCCTGTTAGGGTTTATTTATTTTTTTGAGACAGAGTCTTGCTCTGTCACCCAGGCTGAAGTGCAGTGGAGCAATCTCAGCTCACTGCAACCTTCTCCTCCCGGGTTCCAGCAATTCTCCTACCTCAGCCTCCTGAGGAGCTGGGATTACAGCCATGTGCCACCACGTCCCGCTAATTTTTTTGTGTTTTTAGTGGAGACGGGGTTGCACCATGTTGGCCAGGATGGTCTCAAATGTCGGACCTCATGATCCATCTGCCTTGGCCTCCCAATGTGCTGGGATTACAGGTGGGAGCCACCGTGTCTGGCCGGCTTTACTTGTGTTAAATCAAGGGCTAAATTCTTCCCCTCTCTTGGACACCGGTGAAGTATTTAAGAAAAGCAGTCACCAATTACAGTTAACATTTGAAGGACAAATTTAAAGGTGGTTATAAGTTACAAAATAAAGGCGACTTATGAACTCTCATATAAAAAAAGAATATTAAGACACTTTTTGTTATCTTTTTGGGATAGGGTCTTGCTCTGTCCTCCAGGCTGGAGTACAGTGGTGCAGCCTCCCAAGTAGTTGGGATTACAGGCGTCCACCACCATGTTTTTGTCTTTTTAGTAGAGACGGGGTTTCACCATGTTGGCCAGGCTGGTCTCAAACTTCTGACCTCATGTGATCCTTCCACCTATCACCTGACCAGAGAAATTAAGACATTCTCAGATAAACAAAAGCTGAGACAGTTCATTACATTGGGACCTGTCCTGCAAGAAATGCTAAAGGGAGTTCTTCAAGTCAAAACAAAAAGATGCTAGGTGGACATTTGAAGCCGCATATAAAGACCTGTATTATTGGAATTTTGATTCACATCTCTGATTTTCATTATTTTACTGGATTTAAAAGAGATGTGTAACCATAAGCCTATGTTAAATATGTAATTTATTTTTAAAAATTAGGCATGGTGGCGTGCACCTGTAGTCTCGGCTATGGAGGATCACTTCAGTCCAGGGGCTTCAGGTTACAATGAGCTATGACAGTGACACTGCACTCCAGCCTGGGTGACAGAGTGAGACCCTCTCTCTAAAATATATACTTTGTAATGAAAACATAGGACGGGGTAGAGCTGTCGAGGAGTTGAATATTTGGTATGTGATTGAACTTACTAGTTTAAAATCAATTGCTATATCTTCAGGATGTATGATGTAATCCTCATGGTAATTACAAAGAAAATATCTACAGAATGTACACAAAAGGAAGTAAGAAGGGATTCTAAGTGTATCACACACAAAAAATTAAACACAAAGGAAGGCAGAAGGAAGGAAATGAGAAAGAAAACAAACCATAAGCCATGCAGAAAACAATCCACAGAGTGGCACCTAAAAGCCCCGTAAATGGGGTGCTGGAGTCCTCCCAGATCAACTGCTCACCTTAGTCCCTGGCTGTGGGCCTCATGGCACAGTCACCCACCAGGCTATTGAGTTTCATCAGATGATAATCTTTAAAAGTGCAAATTATTTCCACAATCTAAAGACAGTAAGAGACTTACACATAGGATGACAAAAAAGATACTCCATGGAAATGGTAACTGAGAAAAGGAGGGAGGAGCTAGATTAATCTCAGACTAAGTAGACTTAAGGTCAAAAGCTGTTGTAAGAGATAACAACAGTCCATTCACCAAAAAGATGCAACAGTTATAAAGGTATGTGCAACGCACCTCAGAGCTCCTAAATACACGACTCAAACACTGACAGAATGAAAGAAGAAACAGTTCTATGAAACTTGTAGGAAACTTCAACACCTCACTTTTTTTTTTTTTTCCAGACAGAATCTTGGTTTCCCAGGCTGGAGTGCAGCTGCAACCTCCTGAATTCAAGTGATTCTCGTGCCTCAGCCTCAGAGTAGCTGGGATTACAGGTGTACGCCACCATGCCCAGCTATTTTTAGTAGAGACAGGGATTCACCACATTGGCCAGGCTGATCTTGAACTCCTGACCTCAAGTGATTCACCCACCTTGGCATCCCAAAGTGCTGAGATTACAGGCATGAGCCTCTGTGCCTGGCCCAATAATTGACTTTCAATAATGGATACAATACCCAGACAGAGGATAAAGAAGGAAACAGAGAGCTTGAATGATACTACAGACAAATTGGACCTACCAGACACACACAGATGAGTTCGCCCAGGAGCAGAATACACATTCTTCAAAGTACATGTGGAATGTTCTCTGGGAAAGGTCATACATTAGGCCTGAAAGTAAGATTTAATACATTTTAAAGGACTGAAATCATAATAGCAGAATGAAAACTGGAATATTCACAAATCTATGGGAACTCAACAACATACTACAAAACTATGAATCAAAGAAAAATAAGGAAAATTATAAAGTATTTGGAGACAAAACAACATATCAAATCTATGGGATGCAGCAAAAGCAGTACTATGAGGGAAATTTATAGCTGTACATGCTTACATTTAAAAAAAAAAGCTGGCTGGAGGTAGTGGCTCACATCTGTAATCCCAGCACTTTGGGAGGCCGAGACAGGCAGATAACCTGATGTCAGGAGTTCAAGACCAGCCTGGCTAACATGGGCACCCCATCTTTACTAAAAACATAAAATTAGCCAGGTGTGGTGGCAAGCACCTGTAATCTCAGCTACTTGGGAGGCTGAGGCAGGAGAATCATTTGAACCCATGAGGAGGAGGTTGCAGTGAGCCAAGATTGTACCACTACACTCCAGCTTGGGAGAGACAGCTAGACTCCGTTTCCCCCTACCCCCACAAAAAAAAAAAAAAAAAAAAAAAAAAAAGCAGCAGTAGCCAGGAATAGTGACACTGTTCTATAATCCCATCTACTTGGAAGGCTGAGGCCAGGAGATTGCTTGAACCCAGGAGTTTGAGACTAACTCAGCAAGTGGCAAGACCCTCTCTCAAATAAAAGAAAAAGGAAAAAGCTCTCAAACCACAATCCTAACTTTGTACCTTAAATTTTTAGGAAGAGAAGAACAGCCTAAACCCAAAGTAGGAGAAGGAAGGAAATACTTAAGGTTAGAACAGAAATAAATGAAATAGAAGATGAATCAGTGACCAAAAACTTGACAAGAAAGTACAAGAACAGATGGCTTCATGGGTGACTTGTACCAAACATTTACAGAATCAATACCAATCCTGCTCATCTTCTTCCAAATTACAGAGGAAAGAATACCTCCAAACTCATTCTGTGAGGCCAGCATTACTGATACCAAAGACAGACAAAGCAGCAGAAGAAAACACACCACAATTCCTGATCAATACAGATGCAAAAGTGCTCAAGAAATTACTAATGAGAATTCAACAGCATCATAGAAAGATTACATAACATGATCAAATAAGATGTATTCCTGGAATGGAAAGGTGGTTACCATATAAACATTAGGGTAAGATACCACATTAACAGAATGAAGGAAAGAAAACACATGATAATTTGTTTCAATTAGTACAGGAAAAGCAGTTAAGGAAGTTTAATATCCTTTCATGATTAAAAACATACTGACTAGAAATTAAAACAACCTCAACCTAATAAAAGTCATATGAACAACCTCCAGCTAGTATCATTCTCAATGATGAGAGACAAAGTTTTCCAAGAGGAGGAATAAAAACAGTGATGCCTGCTTTCATAATACTGGAAATCCTAGCCAGAGCTACTAAGAAAGAAAGAAAAAAAAGAAAAGGCATCAAAACTGGAAAGGAAGAAGTGAAATTTTCTCTGTTAACAAATGACATGAACTTCTTTGTAGAAAATCCTGAAGGCTGCACAAAATAAACTGTTAGAACTAATAATTTGTTCAAGATTCAGAATTATGAAATCAACACACAGGAGTCAGTTGCATTTCTACACACTAACAGTCAATGATCCAAGAAGGAAATTAAGAAAACAGTTCCTGCTGGCTTGGTTGTGGAACCCTATAGTCCCAGCTACTTGG